AGTTGAGTGAGAATCAGGAAGGATCAAGTGCAGAAAGCACCTGAGACAGAGCAGGAAGAAAGGCGAAGATGCTGAAACATTTATCCCCATTCCACCTGCATAATCCCAACCCCATGCCCTGCCCACCTTCTGGGCTGACCACAGCTAGTAGGCACAAGAGTGGCAATACTGATTATTTCCAGCCAGAGTCTACTCTGTGGGGTCAGCAGACATGCAGTTCCCATTGTTATTTACTTTGACTATCCCCACACCACCAACACCACCACCAAACCCCCTCATCCCCGTCCTCACCCTCCATGCCCCTCTCCATCCATGACTTCAAAGTCCAAGCCAAACCACCCCCTCCTCTCTCAACTCCCCTTGGATTCCTCCTGACCAGTGATAATCTGTGACCACTTTGAGGTCCCACTTGCCTGGACCTGACCCAAGAGTGTAATGCATTAAGTCCCCTCAAACATTTATTTAGCATCTCCTATGCCCTGAACTTGGAGATTTGGCAATGAAAAAGAATAGTCTGTACCCTTGAGATGTTCACAGGCTAGTGGGCGGGAGCACTGGGTAAATAAATCATGACAATACAATGTGATAAGACTGCAATCATTCAGGTGTGGGCTGGGCACACTCAGAAGAGGGAAATCTGAAGTTGCCCGGGGCTGCCACTGCGAATGTAATGTACAGCTTAGCCCTCTGCTTCTTAACAGCAAGGTCCACTCCACTCGATTCAGCACCAAGAGCCAGTACTGTCCTCCTGACAAGTAGGGCTACAATCATGGCCAAAATAATAGTGACCTCCAGCTTTAGATCTGGGTTGTATCTGTATCTCCAGGTTCTGGTAGAGTCTGGGCCACAGAGTAGGTACCCCAAGAATGAGCGCATGCCCACACCCACAGCCAGGCCTTGCAACTTGGCAGCATTATTGGTTAACACTGAGCAGTCATGTCAAGCCAGAGAAGGGAGAAAGGGTCCAATGAAATAGTCTGGTTGGCCAAGACTCCTTGGGCTCCTCCTTGCTTGCTGAGAACTTGCAGACACTCAGCCCCCTACCTGGGCCCCCTCTCTACCCCTGTGCTGCCCTCCTCATTCCTGAACTCTGCCAATCCTCTCTCCACATGGGCAGTCTTCTCTCAACCACAGGTTGCCACCTATCCAGAGACAGGTGTCCTCCTACGGTCTAGCTGGAACCAAATGGCCAACAAATACAAAATCCTAACTCCAGGCTCTTTTAAGGAAATGTTTATTAGCTTTCACAATGAGACCAGGTTCAGCAAGATCTCATGTCTTTCTCTGGCAGCATCAGCTGCCTAGACCAGGCCTAAGAATTAAGAAGAAAATTTAAAATGTTCCTCTGTGAAGCCAAAATAGACACCCTGGAATCTGCGTGCTAACACCCACATGATTTACAGAAAGTCCATTAGGACCACACATGGCGCCCACCGACTCCTATTTCTTTTCCACTTTTGGGATCTCAGATACACAGAATTGGAATCACCATAATCCTTGGATCATGTCACACTGTCATCAAGGTCAACGCTTGGGCTGCGTTTTAGTCAGTTCATTAATTAATCAATTACAATGTTATACGTACCTATTAACCCATGACATAAAATGAAAGTGGGGACGCTGAGAGGTATCATGTGACATTAGACAAAACCCCTCGCCAACCCACCCTCTTACTTCCCCTGCTCAGGGCATCCATCCTCCTGCGTCCTGTGTTCATCGTTGCTTTGTTCTCCTTTTCAACTGGTTGTATCTACACGTATCCGCCTGTATGCGTGCACACACACATGTTATTTTTAACTTTATGTGACCTTTGCTGTATATAATCTGGGGAAACCTACTTCTTTACTTAATATTATTGTGCTAAGATTTCCTCCATATTGAGGTGTGCTGCTGATTGTTCCTTCATGTAGACGACTGTACAATGCCCCGCTGTGTAGTTTAGCACAGTTCATTCGCTGCCTTCCCTGGCGACAGGCATCTGGTGTGCATCCAGGCTCGTGCAACCATGATGACCGCTGCCATGAAGATCCATGTTCCTTGTACGTATCTCCTGTTGAACATGTTTAAGAGTTTCTCAGGGATATATGCCCACGAGTGGAATAGTTGGTTCTAACCCTCTTGGGAATTTTGATCAATTCAAGGGGAAGCTAGATTTAAACAAAGCAGGAAGTAAGAAAGTAATTAGGGAGAAAGGAAAAGAAGGAAGAATTCTAAAAGCCTGATTTTCAGGGCATATTCAGCATAGGAACACCACTGCTCCTTGTGGTTCATGGAATCCAATTGTCTTTCTTTTTTTAGTTTTCTAAAGTCAAAGTATGTTACTTTTAAAATCATAAAAAATAAACTGTTTTGAAAGTTTAAACTATATTTTAGAAAGGTTTCTTTTCAAACTTTGAGTCTGACCTTTTTCTGTGGTCCCTTAGAGGGCTGTGGGTCAGCCATAGAAAAATTCTCTTTCATTGGATAGCTCATTTCCCAAGAAAACCAGCAAAGGAGGTCCTGCAACCACCAATGCCAGGCCGGGGAGGTAGAGCCGTGCCCCAGATTAGCACTCTTGCAGAAAGGTGGTGGGTGCTGCACAGGCCCAAACGTGCTCAGATATCAAGAAGTATTTGCTGGAAAATGATCTTTTTTTCCCTGTTCAATAAGCAACAGGGAAAACATCTGCTGACCCATCCCAGCTGCTCATGCTGATCTCTCTTGGTACATCTTAGAGAAATTGCCATGGTACGGTCTGGAAAAGGTGTTACTCAGCAAACGAGGATGCAAGCAAGGATGTCCAGAGATAAGTATGGGAACAACCTGTGAGCAAAGACAAGATGCTGTCCTTGACCTTGAAACAGAGAGCTCCCACCCATGGAAGCAGCATGATTTATCTTTGAACAGTATCGATATAGTCTTAAAATGGAGCTGAAATCTGCCTCTCAGTCTCTTCTACTCCTTGGCCTAGTTCAGCCCCTGGACGCCGCACAGAATGGTAATAATAACCACCACCACCATGATCATGAAAACATGTTCACACAAAAACCTGTGCATGAATATTCCTAACAGCTTTATTCATAATAACTCGAAACTGGAAATAACCCCAGTGTCCTTCAATGGGTAAATAGTCAAACTGTGGTACATCCATACCAGGGAATACTACTCAGTCATCAAAAGAAAGATTAAGTTACAATAGCAAAGATTTAGGTTAGTCTCAAAGAAGTTTCTTAATAGATGTGTTAAATCAAGAATTAGTAACCACAGGACATGAAAATCATTCTTTGCTGAAATTCTTCGAAACTATGTCAGATGCTTATTTCAGTAGATGTTAGTTATGAGTCCTCCCCTATGGGAAAAAGATACAACTTAGTACCTGCCCTCCCAGATCTGATGGTCTAATGGGAGCGACAGAAAAGTAGTCAAACACAGTCTAGCATGAAGTATTCAATGATAGGGAAGAATGGGAAGCTACAAGAGCACAGAGTATGAGCATCTCACCCCATCTTGGAGGCAGGGGAATGCAAGAAAGGTTAGTGCACACAGTTAGGGACTAGGGGAGTGTGGTGATAGGAAGGGCCAGGACTGGTAGCTCTCACAGCAGAGGGAACAGCTCGTGCAACAGGACAGCCAGCCCACAGTCTATCTGGGGACTGAAGGTTGGCAGAGTAGTAAGAGATGAGGTTGGACACTGGGGAGGGGTGATAGGCAACCAGGGCATGGAAGGCCTTTCCAAGTAGCCTGAAGGGTTTGGGCCGTGCTAAAAGCTGAATTAGCAACTGAATGGAGGCTCTAGTCAAACTGGGCCCCGCTATAGGCCACAGCGGTTCCTTAAGCTTTCCTATTTCTGGAACCCATCTTTTTGCAGGGCCTTCTATTCCTTTCTGAGATCACTGCTCCCTAAGCGCCAAAGCCTAGTTCCAACACCTCCTCTTTCTCCAGGAAGCCTCCCCAAACCCCTCCCTGGAGGGGAGTCCCTCCTCCTGGGCAGATGGGCACAGGTGTCTGTGCGCCACGCTATCCAGTGGCATAAGCAGCACAGTGTGACGGTGAAGATGCTCTGGAGCCAGCCTGCCTAAGGCCCAATCCTGGCTTTACCACTCACTCTCTAGGCTTCATTTTCTTATCTGTAAAGTGGGCATAATAACTTTACTACCACAGAAGTTATCTCAAGATTAAATAATTTTATTGGCATATTTAACTTTGAACAGTGACTGGCACGAAGTGAGTACTTAAACAATGTAACCCTTTATTACATATCATTACATGCCATGGCCCCAGTACACACCCGACTGTGGGCAAGGCATATCACTGGTGATCAACTAATTTTATGTTAATCAGGCAATAGAAGTCAACATCCTCCCCTCACGGACAGACACCTCTATTTATGACCTCCCATTCTCTGCTTAGACCAATGCTCAGTGTAGGCTAGAAATACACTTTCCTCTTATAGGCAGTTGGGTGATAGAGGCCAGAACCCCCAGCCATGATTTCGAAGAACTAGGTCATCTTCCTAGCTCCTCTGTCTCAATCCTCGGGTGACCTAGGGCAAGTGTGTTCACCTTTCAGAACTTTGCTATTCCCATCTGTACAATGGGAATGAGTCCCTGTGAGGTTCAAAACGGAAGAGGGCTGGGCAGAACTTTGCAAAGGGCTGATGCGAACGTGATTTCCACTTCCCATTCTGCAAGCCACAGCTCCACCCCCATCCCTCACTTTCACTTCCAGAAGCAGCTCACTCCCAGACTGGCACAGCTGCCAGGTCTCCACGGGGACCAGGTATATCTTAATTTGCTCCACCCACTGATTTGATGAATTCTTTCTCTCCTCCTCCGGGGACTTTCCTAACTTCCTTGTGTAAACGAAGGAAAGAGCACATGAGTATACTGTATATAAATATGCTTGGGAAAGCTTTCTTCTCCTTCTTCTTCTTTTTTTTTCCCCCTTAAACCTAACTTGGTTTCTGTTGTAGGCGGTACATTCCCTAGCAGGGCAGGGCACTTGCAACGGGGCAGGGGAGAGGAAAAGGGGAGGAGTAGGCAGTGAATAATTCACCCACTGTGAGAGCTGGGCTTCTATTTAATGGGGGGTCTCTCTGGCCAGGAGTCAGAGGCGCCTCCGCACCAGCAGGAGGAGCATGGCAGAGGATCTGGGGCTGGGCTTTGGGGAAACAGCCAGCATGGAAATGCTGCCCGAGGACGGCGGCTGCAGGCCCAAGGCCAGGAGCAGCATGCGCTGGGCTCTCACCTGCTTCCTGGTGTCGCTCCCCTTCCTGGCAGGGCTCACCACCTACCTGCTCGTCAGCCAGCTCCGGGCCCACGGAGAGGCCTGTGTACAGCTGCAGGTAAGCAAGGCTGCATGGTGACCTGGGGGGACAGCAGATTCTTTATGGGCCGTGGCAGCTATTTCAGCTTTGGACAGAGGACAGACAGAGCTCTGGACGCATCACATTCCTGGCTTGCTTCCACGCATGCAAGGAAAATGCAGAAGGGGAGGGGTGGAGAAGTTCAATTTGGTTTTTAGTCTCAATCTTTCCAAGGAATGAAATGTCCCTTATGTTTATATGGGAATAACCTCAAGGCTTATATTTTTAGATCATTATAATCATAGTGTACTGATGATTTGGGAACATTCCTTTTTATTAAAAAAAAAACTTTTTAAATTACAGAACTAACATAACACATGGTCATTTTTAAAAGTTAGAAAACACAGATAAAGGAAGAACATCATCATTACCCATAACCCCTTAGAGATGACCACTCTTAACAGTTTGGATTATATAATTCGATATTATTTTTAATAAAATGGGATTACTCTGAGTCCCCTAGTATATTATAATTTTATTTATATGTTAATAAATTCATATCAGCATGATATAGACACATATTCCTATATGTGTATGCTATAATCTCTTTACCTAATTCCCTTTCTTGGGTTTAAAAATATTTTTTTTTTGAATTTCCAGCAGATGTACGGGGTACAAATGGTTTTGTGGTTACATGGATGAAATGTATGGTGGTGAAGTTTGGGCTTTTAGTGTACCCGTCAGCCGAGTAGTGTACCTTGTACCCAATAGGTCATTTTTTCATCCCTTACCCTCCTCCTGCCCTCCCCACTTCTGAGTCTCCACTGCCCTTTAAGTCACTCTGTGTGGCCGTGCTTACCCATAGCTTAGCTCCCACTTATAAGTGAGAATATGCTGCATTTATTTTTCTGTTTCTGAGCTACTTCACATAGGATACTGGCTTCCAGTTCCATCCAAGTTGCTGCAAAAGACACTACTTCATTCTTTTTTATGGCTAAGTAGGATTCTATGGTATATATATATATATATATACATACCACATAGAAATATTATTTTTTAATACTCAAGATTGATTGTCTATCGCTAAGGTCTGGCTGGAAGCTGGGGAGAAGCTTAGTCAAGAAAGGAAGACAGAGTCTAGGGAGAGCAATGGTGGGGGCGGGATGCAGGTGTCAAGGGGAAAGTAATTCTGGACTATGAACATCAAAAATGTACCCCAAAGCCTCAAGAATATATCATTCAAGTAATAAAATACTCCTTCATAATCTACGATGACTGGTTTACATTCAGTCCAAAGTATTAAATTCCAAAGGAGAAAACAGGCTTTTCCGTTGGTTTAACTGGAAACCTAGTCTCTAAGCAATCCCAGCCAGCTTCAAAGTAGAGACACCGTGCACAAGCCATGGCTAATCCGTAACTACCCTGCCAGAGTCAACAGACTGTGATTCAGGCAGCAGCATCCATGGCCACACGCCAATGCTTGTAAAATGTAGAAATATGCAGATGACCTGGAAATGCTGTTCAGGCTAGACGAGAACTGCAGGGCAAGGGAGGTCAGACTGCAACCCCTTGGCCACCGTGGAGCTGCTTCCTGCAAGAAGCCACACACGGCGGCCAGTCGTCACTCTGGGACTCTGTCCCTCTTTAGCCAGAAGGAGACAGTTGTTCTTGGAAGGTGCTGAGTGGCCCCCAGCAACCTGCATCCTCCTGGGGTTCTAGGGGAACCAAGCAGCATGATGGGTTCCCGCCACCCAAGATGTTATCCGAGATCCCCGAGGTCAGCAGAGGCCAGAGAACGCCTTTGTTTATCTAGAAAATACCCCGTGGATTGCCACGGTCCAGAGAGGGCCAGTGACTTGCTCCGTCAGGAGGCGAGTTGGAGACAGGAGCTGTCACTAGACAGGATGCCCCATGAAAGAAAGCGCAGGGTCACTTGCTCACCACTGCACCCCTGAGTCTGTCACTGTGCCTGCTGCAGGTGCCCAAGGAACAAATGCGACTCGTACTACCCATTCTATCATAATTATTTTTTTATGTTTTTTTTCAGCTTCTTTTTTTAATTTCAGCCTATTATTGGGGTACAAACGTTTAGGTTACATATATCGCCTTATCATCATTAAACCATAAATAACCCAGAGAGTGGACGTGCGGAGCTGCAGTTTGGCCAGGCTGTGTCACATCTTAGTGCGTCAGAAGAAAAAGGGAAATGGGGGCGTAGCTGGGGCACATGTAGCAATCAGGGTCTTGAGAAGAAACAGCTGGCCCACTCAAGGGAGCAAGCTCAAAGGACAACATTTAGAGAGAGGTTGGAAGGGGTTTCAGGAAGGGCCTGCTTGCTGAGCTGGGGCTGGAAGCATCCGTGGTCAGCAGTGGTGGGCAGCCAGTGACCATGCCTAGGCGTGAAGGGGTGCAGGAGGGAGGAGCGTTAGAGGAACCCAGAGAACCACAGCCCAGGCGAGGGCCTGCCTGGAGGACAGAAGGGCCAGGTAGAGAAAGGCAGCACTGCCAGAACAGCAGGGAGAGAGTGGGGGGCAGAGGGAAGGCTGAGCTCACTCTCCTCCCAGCCTCCAATCCCACTGACCAGACTCACCAGGAAGCCAGGGCTCGAAGGAGCTGGGAGCAGCCTCGCCGGGCACAGGGCAGGCCTGGGAAGGGCGGAGAGTGGATCTGGAGGGACTGACGGGGAAGACCCACTCAGAGGAGATGCAGAGGATGGCGTTCAGAGGGAAGACCGGGTCACCAAGAGAAGCCTGGGTGACCATACGATGGAATATGGCTCTTAGACAGACACCTGGGTTTGAAACCCAGCTCATCCACTTCTCGCCATGTGCAAATAGGCAGGTGGCTTCATTTCTTTGAGGCTGTTTCCTTCTCTTTTAAAAGGGGGTACTGACATCAATACTCCACCGGTATCCATAGGCCTGTGCAGGAGCATCTCGTATGCTGGGAATGTGGGGACAGCTACATGCACACGGTTACTGAGATGTGATCATCACTCTGTGCCAGGCACCGAACAACTACTGAGAAAACTTGATCTTGGCCTCAGGAAATAGGCTCTTTCAACATAGAGAGGTGCCGTGGAATTCCAGATGTTCTCCTAGCCCAGCCACAGGGATGGGGGTGGTTGAGGGAAGGCTTCCTGGAGGAGGGAAGGAAGGCACCTGGGGCTAGAACGCTGTGCCTGGGGTCCAGCTCAAGGACCCCATTACAGACAAAAGCCAGTCAGATGACCACAGGACATGACAGGCAACAAGGCCTTTGACGGTTAGCCAGCTGGAAGCCCTTTGTTTTGCAGAGAGAGAAACTGAGTCTCAGAGGGCTGAAGAGATTTGCCCAAGCTCTGTACCTCTAGTCAGTGGGAGAGCCAAGAGTTTTTTGAAACCGGCCCATCTGACCTCCCACTCTGTGCATTCAGGCAGCAGAGTTCATGCCACGCCAGCCATCAGGCGGCCACACCGCAGGCCAAAGGAAGAAGGAAATCAGTGATATCAGGGAAGAAAGCAGCCACTATTGCCAATCACTGAGCCTCACCCTGTGCCAGCCTTGCAGTGAGGGGATTTACATGCCAAATCTTCCGTTTCCCTCAGAATCACCCTCCCGGCACTCCTGGCCTGGGGGCGGGAGTAGCGCTGTCCGTGTTTTTCCAAAGAGAAAAGTAAAGATCAGACCGGTAGCATGGCACACGCATGTCGTGGAAATACAATTAAAACAAAATCTTCTTCCAACCCAAAAATCCTCTCCACAAAGGTAGTAGACAAAGAAAACAGTTTTGTGATTGAATAAGCATTAAACCAGAACATGATATGCATCTCAAGCAATCTACCAAGAGATTGCAAAGACAGAAGGAAACCTCACCTTTTTATATAACCAAGCAGGTACAGCCCATTGCGTACAAGTTAAGCGAAAAAAAGCAGAGTGTATAACAGCATATATAATATGCTACACTTTGTTTTATGAAGAAATTCGCATGTATGAATGTGTTTATAAATGCGTAGGATATCTCAGGAAGAGCACGAAAGAAGCTGTTAACTCTCCTAGCATTCAGGTAGGGGACCTGGGTAGCTTGTCAACAGTGGAAGGAGGGAGACATTGATAAACCTACACTCTTTCACACAAAATGTGTATGTTACCTATGCAAAAAAAAAAAAAAAAAATAGGCATAGTAAAATGTTTTAGGACCTTTAGCCTTCTGCAGGATATTAGGCATATTTGCATCTTGGAAAAATCTTGAGTCGAAATTTCAAACTCAGTTTGAATTCTAGCCTACCCACTTCTTAGCCATGTTATCTAATCTTCCTGGGCCTCTGCTTCTTTATATATCAAATGGGGATAATTAGAAATAAAATATGTAAAGTGTCTGCCAGGGAGTGAGGGATTAATAAATGACACCGATTATTATTAAATAACCAGGGAACTTCCTGCTCAGGGAAATTACATCATAGAGAACACTTCTCCACCTGCTCTGGAATCTTCCATTGCTGGCCAGAGAGCAGATTTTGGTGCTGGAGGGCTTTTCTTGGTCTCTGATGTCTATGCGCTGCTTCCAGGCCTCCTTCTCCACCCCATCTTGCCCTCAAAACCCCCACCATATCCTCCAATCCATTCTTTACCAGCTGCACTTGACCACAGCCTGAGCATTCTTTGGGCCCTTCAGTGGCTTCCCTTGCCCTGAGGATGGGTCTGCAGGCCCCACTCTGGCCCAGGTACGCTGAGGCCAGGCCTCTGTCTTCCCTGGCACAGCTCTGGCACACAGTCCGTGCTCCAAGCAAAGCAGAATCCACCAACGTGGCCCAGCTCAAGCCCAGTAGAGTGGGCAGTCAGTACTGGGCAATGAATTATCTGCAGTGCCATAGCAGGCCTTCCTGCACAGGGTTGAACCACCGCCCTGTCCGTCCTCCCCCTCTGGATCCTACTTCTAGAATCACCTGCACATTCTCCCCACCTTCTCCTTAGTTCCCTCCAATTACACTTCCACCCCTTCCTGAAAATCCTGCAAGCCTCCTGGCCTTTGCTCCCTGCACCCTTCTTCCCCCCATGCT